ATCAAGGGGGCAATTTAAACGAACCTAGACTAAGCTATGCAGCATTTCTTAAGCTTGTACGCAATAGACGCAGTGAATTTACCACGCATAAACGACGAGGTAGTTCAAGAAGTCAAAGGTGAGATAAATTTAGATACGGTTGAATCAAATTAGCTAAACAGAATGCGAGTTTTTGTAGTGGAGCTAAAAGACGAGTTCTCAAGGAGCAGTTAGAAATTCGAGCGCTAATCAACGAGCTGGAGCTCATTCGCCATAGTCTTGTGAAGAAGTCGCCGAAATGTAACGTCATTATGTCCAGATCAGGCAACGAAAGGACTCAAATTGGGCTATTACACGCGACTATACCGAATCTATCGGACACATCGTCTATTATTGGAGATGCGAGCACAGATGGAACAGTGTCGGCCGGAGACGTATCGACGACAGAGACATACCTCCCTATTATGTCGAAACAAGGCGGTAGTACGGACGATGTGGTCGTCTCTAGGTCAAAGCTGAATTTAATGCTGCAGATGGCTCAGGAAACGCTTGAAGCTCAAAAAAAACTACTAGAGGAAGTCCGTGCGATGGAGCAACGCATTGCAGAATTGCATTGATGGTCTGTGGAAATTTGCAGCGTAATTCTCTAGTGATTAGCTTCACTGGGCTATGGAAATTATTAGCGGAGTATTTCTGGGAGGATTTTCGACACAAAAAAGAGATAGAGAGTAAGAAGTTCATATTCAAATGGTATCAAGTTATGTTGCATATTTTGTTTGGCACTTTTTGATCTCTAGAATCGTTAGCTGCCTACCAATTAACTGACTTTATACCGTGTTGGACTTGTTATCATCAGTAGGCTTAAGAGAATTTATAGCTTTTGATTATTCGCAAAATATTACGAGAGCGAAATACATATTTTGTGTAAGTTTTGGTAGATAAAGTCAATCGCAAAGAAGGTAATTAATATTTAAATGCATATGGTGATAATTGTCGAAGCTTACACTGAACGGAAAGAAGCTACGAAGTAATTTTCTTCAAAGAGTTTCATCGTTTGTGCGGGTGGTGGTTGGTTGAACCAGTCGATTAGACGTATCAGAAACAAGGTCCGGCAAGTTCTTGATATGGCTTTTGTGTCAACTTTCTTATCAAGCAATCAGAGCTACGACATTGCAAATGAAAGTCCTCAATTCTTGGGTATAGTAACCGTGTTGCTGGAGCAAGATATCACCACTTACTAACTTTTCGTAAAGTAAACCCATACGCTTTTAAGTCTAAGCTCTATCGACGGCTTAATTGATCCACGTACCCTTCGACATCCCCACAAAATGGTCCCTGATTGGATTGTCGAAAATCAATTGACGTGCTGAAAATGCACTTTGCAGTAGAATTGGCGACTTCATCTCAATCAGATTGAGCGTCATGCGCCATGTCGACGACGATCTGACAGAAAATTAGGAGATGCAGAACAACAAAGGCAGATGAAACACCTCTTCAACATTTTACTTTGCTGCTCAGCAGGGTAGCAACTTCTCGACCACCTGAAATTGAAAGCACGCCGGCAGATTTGATTACTTCGGATTAGCGCGACGAGGCGTCTCATCATTACCTTTCGTTTTCGATTAAGTACGCCAGAATCTTTTTAGAATCTGCCAACGATCGTTGGTGTGGCGGGCAGCGCGTTTCCTGTGGCCTGTGAACATCGACGTGAGCCAGCTGGTCGGAGACTTGAAAAAAGCCATTAAGAAGGAGCAGGAGTTTGACATCGCTGCCAGCAAATTAGAGCTATATCTTGCAAAGAGAGGCGATGCGTGGCTGGAGTCTGGCACGATAGACGTTAAGAAGCTGAAGAAGGGCGAGAAGACGGTTCCAATCGAAGCGATAATGAAGGAGAATTAAATGCTACAGGCAGAGGATTTACTGGAGTACGTCCTGGAAGAAAACAATATGCCCACACCGCAGTTGAGACAGATTCACGTGCTGGTGGTGGTTTCGACCGAAATAGCTGTAGCTCCACCAAGGAAGCGAGTTAAAATGTTGCCAGTCAAATTAAAGGTCCCAAGTTCGTTCGCTCAATGGCGTGTCTTGTCGGCTTTTTTGATGCAAGATGGTCGCATCATTTGCGATCGAGTTGATCGCCCTGAGAACGTCAGTCCCTTGACGTTGCTCAATCCA